AGTTTAGTGCTTTTGTGTGTTTTCCTTTTTTAAAAATTTGGGGCGGGGGGGTTTGCTGTTTCCATACCCCCGGTAGTCGCCCTTTTTCGTTTGATTTCATTGAAAATTTTAAACTAGTGGCACACAAGCACCCCCTGCTTCCTCTCTCAGGACCCCTAAAGATGTTATCCCCGGCCCCATTGCCCTTTTTTAAGGGATCTAGCTCCGGCTTAGCAGCCCCCTTCACTTCTTTCCCTTTGGTTTTATGGATTGTGTCCAACACTTGATGGTTTTTAACCCCCCATTTGCCCCTTTTCTGTGTGTGTGTGGGGTGTGTGGGGTGTTGTACTCACCTAATTGTAAATTGGGAGGGGTCGAAGGCCCGCTCCTGGCCCCCCCCTCTTCACTGAACGCTACAAGTCCCTTTTTCCCCGCCCATGGCTTTATCCCTAAACCCCGTTTAAAGCAAAAGTAGGTTCCTGCCTCCCCACACGCTTGCCCGATGTTCCACTTTTCCCGACCACCTATGCTTCCTAACAACCCTGTGGCACATCTGAATCTTAGCTTCCAAGGGGTGACCCCCTTTTTTTTGGTCCCCTCTCTTTGGGAAAATCTTGTCTTGTCCCCCCCAGTCTATTCATTTCCGTATTTTGTATGTTTATCTTTCTCCCCAAATTCCCCCTGTCCTCCAGTTTCGTCAGATCGATTTCCCTCACCTTTCTTCATTGGGCATTCCCCTTAGCTCTGGAATAACCTTGTTTTCAAACCTTTGAAATTTTTCAAAATTTTTTAACATGTTTGGGGCCCCAAAGCAGGTTCCAAATGGGCTGCATACTCCCGTAAGGGCCCAACCCTACACAGTGACAGAAATCTTGAATGTTCCTTCTGAGGTTTTCGGAACAATATCTCGGGGTTTGTGGTTTTGTGGGGGAAGGGAAAGTGGTCCTTTTGGCTTCATGCCCTTTTTGGGGTGAGAGAAAGGTAAATATATGAAGGGATTCCCAAGGGGAAACCCGTTGGCTAACATTCATTATACATTTTTTTTTTTTTTTTTAACAATTTGGGGCCCCTTTCCCCCTGAGGCAGGGTGACCCAAAAAAAGAAAGAAAATCCCCCAAAAAAAAAATACTTTCTCATCATTCAAAACTTTCACCACACTCGCACATTATCACTGTTTTTGCAGAGGTGCTGAATACCCCATTTAGAAACATACACCTATTTAAAAATACACAACATATCCCTCCAAACTGCAAAATTCCCCAAAACCCCCCCTTTAAAGTTTTAGGCATTGTACTTCCCATTTCCGGGCTCAAGTCCCGGTTTTATAAAATAAAAAGGTTTCCCCGAAATTTTTTTTTTTTTTTTTTATCCACTGGCCGAATTTCCCCCCAAGGCGGGGGGGCCTTTAAAAAAAAAAAAAACTTTCACCTCCCTTCCCTCCATCACGTCTTGCCAGAAGGGTGCTTTTCACTACAGTTTTTTTAAATGCAACATTTAAAACCCCTCCCTTTAGAGTGCAGGACTGTACTTTCCCCTTCCAGGACTCAAGTTCCCCGGCCCGCCCGGGTTTTTTTGCCCCTTCATAAATGTTACTTTGCTCACACTCCAACAGCCTTTAAGTATTAAAAACCATTTGTCTCCATTCATCCTAAACAAACACGCTCACGCAAAGCCTGCTGGGAAATCCAAACCCCTTTGCACACAAAAAAATCCTTTACCCCCCTCCCCCCTACCTTTTCCCGGGCCCCACCCCTACCCCCGCCTTTCCCTTCCCCTACAGGGTGATACACTCTTTTAAGTTTATTCGGGTTTTTTCCCCTTTTCTTACATGTCCGAAAAACCCCCCAACAACCTTCCCCAGCCCCCTGGACAACAAATTTTTTGGTTTAAACCCGCCCCTCCTCCTAAAATTCCCAAAACTACGAATTCTCTGCATTATATTACACCCCCAAAAATTGCTTCAAGGGCATGAAAATTTCCACTCCCCCAGCCTTCTCCCCGCTGCAAAATTTTATCACCCATGCTTCCACCCAAAATAAGAGGTTGGTAAAAATATAAATCTCCCTACCTTCCCCCCTTTGCCCCAAGGACAAAATTCTTTGTCTCCACAGACTCCCAAATGGGACCCTCACCCCTTTTCCCCCCATCAATTCTTTTTGATTCCCTCATCCTTCATAACCCATCCCCTGGGCAGTCCACTCCCCCAAAAATCGAATACATTCACCTCCCCCCATACTCCCTTCCTCCAAACTGAAAATTTCCCAAACTTTCATCACCTAAAATTTTTTTCCCCGAATCCCTTCCCCTAAAAATTCCCTGCTCAAACTCCATATATAATTGTATATACTACAAAAAATACCGTGACTTTGAAAGAAAAATTTTGGAAAAATTATAATTTCGCCCCTTTTTGGGAATTGGGTTTTTCAAACATTATCCCCCTGTCCCCAAACAAAAAATTTAAGCCCTTTCACACACTGAAACAAAAAAAGGGAGTACCCTTAAACCCCACAGTCCCCCGGAACCCCCGCAAAAGAAGGGTGAAATACATAGTTCTAAAATTTAAAATTCCCAAATTTATGACCAGGGGGGGTTAATTCTGTTTTTTTCAGTTTCACCTTTGGGGGGGCCTTTCCCCCGCATTCTTTACTCCCATCACGTCTAGGAAGTTTTGGAGGTAAGGAGAATTTTTTACTTGGGTACCATGAGGGGACTCCCTCCAATAAATTTCTCCACCTGTACAAAAAAAAGGGGCCCGGCCCCGGAAAAATCTCCCCCAGATTTTTTAGCATCTACATTAAAAGGGGAGTCAATCCAAAAAGACTTGGGTTGAAGGGGACTTCCCCTTTTCTTTCCCAAAAACATGGGGATTTTTTAAGAAGTTAGTGAAAATAATAGTGAAAAAGTTTAGTTTTAAAATGTATATTAAAATTAACTCAACCCTTAGTTTTACACTCTGTAAAGAGATTTTGTTCAAATAGGGTTTAGCTAATACTGTCCCCCCCTTAACCCTTAACTGTGACTATACCCCGAACAAAATTTCCCCTTAGCAGAATTTTGGGAAAAAAAAAATATGCTTGGAAATGGGTTTGGGAATTTTTTAATTTTTCCCCAAGGGTTAAATATACAAAAACTGTGCATTTTGTTTGAAATTTCCCCTTTTTTGTTTTCAAAGAAATTACAATAAATTTAGAAGGGAAAAGGCATTTTTGTCATTGCACACCCCGTTTTTTTTTTGGGAGGGGGAAATTGTTGGTGGCACAACAGGGCCTGGGTTTCATTTTTTTACTTGGGAGTGGTTTCCATGACCCCTACATGGACCCATCTGTTTTTTTTTTTTTTAAGGTAAAAAAGAGGGGGGGTTAGGGGGACCCCAAAAATTGAGCCCTGGGGCAAAAATATTGACCTTTGGGAAGGGACAAAAAAAATTTAATTTTTTTTTTTCGCGGCCCGGGGACAACTGGGCCGCGGGGGGGTTGGGCCCCCCGGGAAAACCCCTCCAGGTAAAAAAACCCGGTAAACACCTTCATCTGCATACTAGTACAGGGAAAACAGTTTAATGGTTAAAACTTAAATGCTGTGCATTTAAAGAATGTAAAAAATATCCTAGTGTTTCTTTTTTATTTGGGGTTGTCCTAGTTCTAAACGTCCAAGATTCAAAAGAATCGCAAATGAAAGGGCATCAACAAGTTTAAAACCTACTCGAAAGTTTTCCAAGTCATCCCTTTCCCTTTATGTATCCTGTCCCGGGTTTTTTTTAATTTGGGGCCCCGAAAATTAAAGTTTTAGTTGAAAAAAAAAGATCCGAAAAGGATTCTGAGAAAAAATTATTTTAAAAAGGATGGGTTAAACCAAAAGAAATAAAGGGGAAAAAAAGGGGAAGTGGTGCATTGGGTATCTGTGGAGACCAAAAAAAAATTTTTCTATGGGAACCCAAAAAAGGGAATGTACGGGGTATATTTTTTCCAACCCCTCTTATATAGGTGTGGGAAACTTGGGTTTGGGAAAGGGGCGCAGTGAGGGGGGAGGTTGGAGGCAGTGAAGATGTCGTGTCTAAAGGGTTTAAAGGTGGGGGTTTTAATTTGCAGGGAATTTGTGGGGGAATTTTGGAAAGGGGTGGAGTTATAAAAGTGTTAGTCAAAGGGTGAAGAGGGGGTTTTTTGGGGTGGTTGGGTCATTTAAGAAGGAACAAAATAGAATGCCCTTTGGGGAGCGTTTTTAAAATCTTAAATTGGGGGAAAAAAGGCTGGGTAGGGGGGCGCCTTAAAAGGTTTGGGGGGAGGGGGAAAAAAAGGTTTTGTGGGGGAGGGGCTTGGACTTTCAGGTCTGCGTGGCTGTTAGGACGAATTGGGGATGAATGGGGTTTTTTTTGGGCCGACGGGCTGGAGTGTGAGCAGGGGGAAAAATTTTTTGAGGGGGTTTAGGAAAAAAAAAGGGTTTGCAGACTTGATTTTGGGAAAAGGAAAAATACATTGCCCCCACTTTAAAGGAGGGATTTGGGATATTGGCAGTTTGTAGGGACATCTAAACTGTTGTATCTGAGTGCCTCTGTAAAGAGAGTGATTATGCATGAGTGATGGTGAAAATATTGAATGATGATGAAAGTATTTTCTTTCTTTTTGGGTTTTGCTCTCTTTTTGGGTGACATCACCCCTGCCTCGGTGGGAAACGGCCGGCATGTTAAAAAAAAAAATAATTTAGTCAAACAAGTACTGTACTGTAAAATTGACCCACACCATCTTGCATGAAAAGGAATACTCCACTTAAATTTATTCACAGAAATAACCCATACAAACATAAAAAAATGGATTAGTGGTATACATATATAGTATTACATGTGAAGGTAAAGTTTGTGTCATACATGTTGAAATTTTTTATTATTAAGATACTGTTGTTTCTCGTAAATTTATAAATTAATAAATATTTAATTTTTATGTTTTGAAATTGATTTGATATAAAAATTTCATTATGGATTTTTTATTTTTTCCCCTCATTTCTGTTTCCTTTTGTTTAATTTTGAACAGGTAGCAGAGGTGGAGCGAGAGAAGCTGATACAAGAGGAGCAGCTGCAGCAATCACACTCGAATAGGGAAATGATTCTCAACCCCAGTTCTTACATGTCATCACTTGAAAAAGTTTGTAAGGTGCGGTAACTGGGCACTACTTTTGAGCTTTTGTGAAGGAAAGAGTAGGTATAAAAACTAGTGAAAATGAATTTTTAATTTGTGTTATATATAGGTAGAACATTGTTCACCTTCGCAACAATTCCTTTTGCTTTAAGAAAGCTATGAAAAAACACGGCTCACTTATCCAACACCTTGAAGCAGCTGGGCCACACTTAATTTTTTTTGTATAATACTGTATTTACAAAATAAATATACTTTTAATCATGTAAATGCTTATCATGTGTAGATCTATGGTGGAGGGAAGGTGAGGTGGGGGCAGAGGTTTCGTTTGGTTTTCCAGCAGGTGTGTGTGTGTGCATGTGCATGTTAGATACAAGTAAGTGTAGGCAAATGGTTTTTGGGACTAGACATGCTATTAGAGTGAGAGAAAGGTAACATTTATGAAGGGATTCAGGGAGTCCAGTTAGCTGGACTTGAATCCTGGAGGTGGGAAGTACAGTGGTACCGTGGCTTAAGAGTGCCCCAACTTACAAGTTTTCCAAGTTACGAGTTGTCGCTCAGTCGATTTTTTGCTTCGAGTTGCAAGCCAAAATCTGAGTTGTGAGCATGCTTCAGATATGCCACTAATTGGCAGCGCATCTGAAGTCAAATCCAGCTTTGTACCCAGAGGAATGTCAGGTACTTCATCCCATCCCACATGCTCTTCCAAGACATAACTGGAAGGATAATACTCCCACACTAATCCCAGATTGTAGAGAGGCACCTCGTCCCTTGTTTGGTTCTCGTATAAATCCGGGGAAGAGGTAACCTTCATTTCATCACTTGGAGTTTTTCCAGTAACATTAATTAACCCTTTCAGGGTCAAGAGGCCCTCTCCTAAACTCGTTCTCAGGGTCGAAAATTTTTTGGGGAAAAAAAAAAATTTTTTTTTTCTTATGAAATGATAGAGAACCTTTTCCCGATCATAATGACACCAAAAGTATGAAATTTGATGGAAAATGTACGGAATTATGCTCTCGCGAAGTTAGCGATCTCAACGATGTTTACGCATCGGCAATTTCACCCAAATTGAGCCCTATTTTTGGCCAGTTTCAGTGTACTAGTCAACAAAAATCTTATCTATTTCGCTAGAACTCCATTTTTTCTATCGAATGAGTACAAGAAACCATCCATTTACCGATTTCAAGTATCCAATAAAGTTGTCAGAAATTGGCAATTTTGCCAGTTTCACACAAATTTCAGAAGATGCCAATTTCCAGATAGGGTCCAGAATAAGTAAGACAGACATTCCTGGCACTAAAATAACATTTTCTCTGTTCATTAGTCATGTCCCCAGGCCCCTCTTACATCTCTTTTGCTTTCCCCTTTGAATTTTTATTCTCACAAAAAATAGAAGATTTACTGTTATGCAGACTACTGCATTAGTGTAGAAATGGTATAAATAATATCGGTGCACTTGTGAAAGAATATTAGATTCACCAGTTGACGTGTATTGGACGCTTGGTATGATTTGTTTACTTTTGAAATTTTGTAAAAATCGAACATTTCTGCTACTTTAAGCTCAATTTCAAGGTACTTTTCATTATGAAACCAATCAAAATATCTCAATTTCTGTAATATGTCTTCCATTCTATAAAATGAGACCAGGAAAACTAAAATACAACCATAAATACCATACGAAAATACACTGCAAAGCCGCTGTTTTAAACCAAAAATACAGTCGGAGTTTTTTCTTTCATTATGCACTGTGTGCTGCAGGGTTTTTTATACTGTGCACACTGACCACATAGACCCATTCTTTCATATGTAGGCCTACCAGCTTTCTCTCACTAGATTTGAAGGTGCTAGAATTTAGGCATTCTAGTACGTCAATAACCCTGGTGCGTAAGCCATACTAGTACGTCGGAAACCCTGAAAGGGTTAAGGTGGGTGAAGTACTGATAGTGGTAGGCGGAGTAGTCATCGTGGTCGGTGGAGTAGTAATGGTGGTGGGTGGAGTAGTCATGGTGATGGTGGAGTAGTGATAGTGGTGGGTGGAGTAGTCATGGTGGTGGGTAGAGTAGTAACAGTGGTGGGTGGAGTGGTGATAGTGGTGGGTGGAGTAGTAATAGTGGTGGGTGGAGTAGTGATAGTGGTGGGTGGAGTAGTCATAGTGGTGGATAGAGTAGTAATGGTGGTGGGTGGAGTATGATAGTGGTGGGTGGAGTAGTGATAGTGGTGGGTGGAGTAATGATGGTGGGTGGAGTAGTGATGGTGATGGGTGGAGTAGTGATGGTGGTGGGTGGAATAGTGATAGTGGTGGGCAGAATAGTGATAGTGGTGGGTGGAGTAGTGAAGGTGGTGGGTGGAGTAGAGATTGGTAGGTGTAGTAGTGAGGGTGGTGGGTAGAGTAGAGATGGTAGGTGGAGTAGTGAGGGTGGTGGGTGGAGTAGTGAAGGTGGTGGGTGGAGTATACAATATTTCTTATTTATAAATACAGTGGAACCTCGGCTTACGAATTTAATCCATTCCGTGACCTTGTTCGTATCCCGATTTGTTCATATGCTGAGTCAATATTCCTCATTTAAATTAATTGAAATGCCATTAATCTGTTCCATCGGAATTCCTGCTCTCAGGAGGCATGACAAAATACTTCAATATGACCCTAATATCAACTCTACAGCTTATTTATATATCACAGTTCATCTCATTTCAGCATCACTCAAGGAATGCACAACAGGTGCATCATTGTCAGTGTTCAGCATTTCTTTGATGTCAGCTTCTTGTAACTCCATTAGCACACAGTCAAGATGAGTAAATAGAATTGTCAACGCTTATTGCTTGGGTACGTTTATTCTTTTAGTGGGTTGGACCTGTGAAGGACCTGCCTAGTATGGGCCAACAGGCCTACTGCAGTCTTCCTCCTTTCTTATGTTATTATGTACCCACGACACCAATCATACCCAGCCCCTCCCACTCATATATTTGTCCAATCTCTTTTTAAAGCTACCCAAGGTTCTAGCAAAGTTAAAACCTTGGGTAGTTTCAAATTTAGATTGGATAAATACATGAGTGAGAGGGGTTGGATTTGAGTGGGACTTGGACATGAGTAAATAGAATTATCAAAGCTTATTGCTTGGGTAGCATTGAAAATTGAGTTGGGCAAATATTCTGTTAGTGGGATGGATTGTGAAGGACCTGCCTAGTATGGCCAACAGGCCTGCTGCAGTGTATTATTATTATTATTATTGTTAGTATGTATGTATTACAATAATAATAATAATAATAATAATTATTAATTTAGGGAAGTGGAGCACAGATCCAATTCCCTTGATCAAGAGCCCCTCACCAAGGAACCTCCCTTGAGGGAGAAGTTCGTATCCAGAAGCAAAAAAATCGATTGAGTGACTTCGTATCCTGAAAAAAATAGCATGGTGGGGCATTCGTAAGCCGAGGTTCCACTGTACATTTTTCTTATTTAAAAACCCGATGACTTTAATACATGGGTTACTATGCTGCAGATGGGAGGACATAGCTGTGGGAAGCTTATTTGCTGTAGTGTTGATGTATGGTTACTGGTAAGTATAATAAATATTAGCATTTCGGTCCAATTTTATTGCAGACGAAGAAGGCAGCAACAAAAAGTGGATCAGAAGCATTGAGGTCCCGAGATGCCTCGGTTACCTCCCTCCAGCGCCGTCTTACGTCACGCACCAAAATACCTGCAGCCCTCACTTTCCAGGGCACTTGTGGCACTTCCAAAAACAAGGGTCAAATTTCAGCACAACCTGAAATTGAACAGGAATTGACAAAGCAGTCAGGTGTGACCGGGCAAGATGCTGAGCATCATATTCCCATCTCTTCTCATCATAACTTTGAGGTATAAAATTGTAAAGCAATAAATCATTTTTTTTGTGTGTGTGTGTAATAATGGTAGAATTATGGACAAAATGTTAGGTAAAGGGACACAAATGCAATTCATGTGACATTTTATTGTGGCAGGAGAGCAGAACGTTGTCACAATAAAATGTCACATTAGTTGCATGTGTGTCCTGTTATCAAACAATTTTTTTCATCTTTGAATCAGTATAAGGTTTGTATTGTTTTTCTGTTTGAAAAGAATGTTAAGCGTTATGTACAATGAATGTTTATGTTTATGGGCTTAGTGTATTTTTTGACAATACAATAATAATGTATTTGTGATGGTATTAAGTTTTTAACATTTTAAATACATTGCTGAGCTTCCATGGGAAGGTAGAGAATAATCTTTCCTCCATAAGTCAGGCATGTTGGAAGAGGTGACTAAAATGATGGGAGCTAGTAACCCATTCTCCTGTATAAATTACTAAATGTAAATGTTTCTTCTTTTTCAGGTTACCCTTCCTCAGTGGGAGACAGCTGGTGTTAAAAAAAAAAATTGCTAATGTGATCTTAAAGATTAGTAAGAAAAAATATAAAGAATGTTGTTTTTCTTTAACAGGGATGTAAAGTGTCTGAGGATGATGCAAGAAAAACCATCTTTTCAACAGGAACCTGGCAAAATAAATTTTGTTCCAATAGCCAGAATTTGAAGGCTTCCCCTAAAGTGATGGTGACAGGCAGATGCTCACCACAGTCTGGTCTTCAGTCTAGCTCTCATGGTACCCCACATACTCCCAATGCATCAAAGAGCATGCAAGTGATCAAGGTTATAACCAGGACTGGAATATCTAACCAACATAATTCATCCACAGTCATTACAGTATTACCAGTGGCACAAAATTGCAATCAGAGTTCAGCTCCACCAAACCTCATTACTAATGTTAATGGTGGATTTCATCACATGTCCACAGGGACCTACACCAATGGGCAGAAGGTAGTTGGGTCAAATGATTCTGTGACTGAAAGAGTCGCTGTTTCTGACTCACGAGAAAGCATGTGCAACCCTTACGCTGTTTATACAGTGTCAAATAATCATATTGGCCAAAGAACTTTTGGAAGAGTAAGCTCTTCAAAAACTACCACTGCCTATTCTTCAAAGAATGGTAAAACATTCTGTGATAATTCCCCTCCTAGCCACTCCTCTCAGCCTTCAGTTGTTGGGATGGGCACCAACATACCTTTGGGTCCTGTTCAGCATCAACTAAACATCAGTGCTGGTCAGAAATCATCTGATGGTTGTGATCAAAATAGGTAAGATTTAGGTAATCTCTGGTAAATGAATCTAGCTTTTTATTTTTATTTACAATTTAACGATTGTTTTAAAATTTAATGTTCTGATATTTTGCACAGTAACTTGTTTGGGATTACTTTTTAGCCTTTTTTTTTTTTATTATTATAATTTGGACCACCCATGTTGCATAAACATTTGTAGGTATTTGCACTTATTTTATTGGTCCCATTTGCTGAAGGCTTAATAAGCAAGAGTGCATTTGTTCTTACCTAGCCTGTTATCCATTTTATAGTTCTATGTTCATCTTAAATTAGGTAGAGCATAACTGTGTTATAATAAAATTATACTTAATTATTCACTGGATACTTTTTTATTTAGGGAGTATGTATTATATTAGGCTAAAATTATATACATTACAATATGTTTAGACTGCAGAACAAGCATTTATCTCAGGCTGTAGGAGATTTGAATCTTTATACTTTGGGACAAAGTACACAGTACTAAACACCTTGCTAGACCAGTCAATGCTCTGGTGCCCAGCCAAGCTAGGCATTTGTTCCAGAGTAGCTGACATGTGGCTGGTGATTAGTTTTTCATTTTCCTGTTGGTTGGTGCATGTGTAGCTGTGTGCCAGCTACTCTGGAACAAATGCCTAGCTGGGCACAAGAGTATTGTCTGGTATGGTGTGATGTGTTTAGTACAGTCTCTCCTCACTTAATGACTGAGTTCCATTCCTAAGATTAGGTTGGTAAACAAATTGGTCGTTAAACGAGGAGCATACTGTACTGGTAGTGTGTTTGTGTTAACCATCTTTAGATATTGTTTTAATGTCACCTTTGCACCATTTATAACATTCTTAGTATATTTTTAAATGTTTATACAGTAGTGTACTGTATATTGTAATAACCAGAATAGAGAGAATCAGCTCTAATATACATTACTTAGGTATGCATACTGGTTGGAGGGCTGGTCATAAGTCCAAGTGGTCGTTAAACGAATACATTGTTAAGTAAGGAGAGACTGTATTGTGTACTTTCTCCCAAAGTTCGTGTCTTAGAATCTCCTCAGACCGGAGATAAATGTTTGTAAACATTGCGGTAAATTATTTCAGAAAAACCCATAAACTTCATTTTGAAGATAAGTTTTCTTTACTAACAGTTGGTGGCAACCATCACCTGATGCCTCTAGTACTGACAGTGAACTAGAAGAGATTTTTGGCAATTCCTTCAACTTTACTCGTCCCAAGAATCTAGTTGGAGGAGTCGTTAGTCATGAGAGAGATGGCACCAACGAGGTAAGATATTGTACAGGCTGCTCATAGTGGTCTCAGCAGTAATGTAAGGCGAAAAAGGAAGTGTTGTCTTGTAAAAAACTACAACAGATCTTTAGTTCTTGAACAAGATTTAATTTGCTAGTTTGTTTTCAGAACTTCCATTTTTTATATACAGTGGACCCCCGCATACCGATTTTAATCCGTGCAAGAGGGCTCATTGGTATGCGAAATAATCGGTATGCGAATGAATTTTCCCCATAAGAAATAATGGAAATCAAATTAATCCATGCAAGACACCCAAAAGTATGAAAATTTTTTTTTTACCACGTGAAATATACATTTTCCTACACACAAAGAGAAGGATACATGCACAATAGTAGAGTAGTACATGCACAGTATATATTGTGCATGTACTAGTCTACTAAATGAAGAATAAATGCAGCAATGACTGATGAGACACTGTGTCCTGGGAGTGCCTTTTCCTCCTAAGTACTGTAGGTCCTGTTTGGTATTTTCTTCCAGAACATGCCTTATCACACTGAGTATGTCACTACGATTCTTAAATCTCTCAAACCAACCTTTGCTGGCTTTAAATTCACCAATATGAGCACTAGTTCCAGGCATTTTTCCCTGTTCACCTGGGTGTTAGTCGACTGGTGTGGGTTGCATCCTGGGAGACAAGATTAAGGACCCCAATGGAAATAAGTTAGACAGTCTTCGATGACACTGACTTTTTTGGGTTATCCTGGGTGGCAAATCCTCTGGGGTTAATTGTTTCTTGGTATATTCTCAATAAGCCACACCAAGAACAGTGCTACAGCAGCAGCAGACGATGCTACAGCAGCACCAGCAGCAGACGATGCTACAGCAGCAGCAGACGATGCTACAGCAGCAGCAGCAGCTGACAGTGCTACAGCAGCAGCAGACGATGCTACAGCAGCAGCAGCAGCTGACAGTGCAGCAGCAGCAGCTGTACCACCAATAGTAGCGATGGTTGATTGGGGTTTATTATACAACCTGGCCAGCTCGGAGACACGCACTCCACTTTCATACTTATCAATGATCTTTTCTTCATCTCTATAGTAATTCTCTCTCACCCTTATTGCTGTAGGGTTGGTACTAGAAGTCTTTCTTGGGGCCCATGGTCACGTTTTTTCCAGATAAAATCACCAAAAACACTGTAATAATACGAAATGTTACGATTGTATGCTTGGATGCTACCGCGGAGGCTGGCTGGTAAACAATGCCACCGGCGGAACATGTGAGGCTGGCTAAGGCGCACATTGGACGCGTCTCGGACGAACAGCGGTGAGCGGGTTTTTAAGCGGTATGCGAGGCAAAATTTTAGCGATAAAATGTATCGGTATGCGGATTAATCGTTATGTGATGCCAACGGTATGCGGGGGTCCACTGTACTGTTATTTTATTACACCTGTGAAGTACAGGTCTCCCTCAACATTTTTGTGTTTTCCACTTTCCGGTTTGGAAACATTTGCGAATACCCACCGCCAAATCATATCTTTTTGGGGATTTTGGGAAGGGGGATGAACAAAATTGTTTAGAAGCAAATCCCTAAAAAAAAACTGTTTGTAATGGAAGAAACGGCCCTCATTTCCCATCACAAGGAAGCCTGCCACACAGCCCCCCAAAATCCCTTTTACCCATAGTCCAAACCTTTTGGGTAGTTTCAAATTTGGGTTGGATAAATAATGATGAGAGGGGTTGGTTTTGAGGGGGATTTTTGAAAATTAGTAAACAGAATTAATAAAATTAAAGAAAACCTTAAAACATCGGGGTTTTTCTTAATGAAAAACTTTTTTTGCCTTTTCATTTTGGCTTTATCAATAAAAAATTTCCCAAGGACAAAATTTATAAATTATCAAAGCTTATTGCTGGGGTATGTTTTTTCGTTATTTGGTTTGGGATTTGTAAAGGGCCCTTTGCCAAGAAAATAGGCCAACAGGCCTATTTGGGGTTGCCCCCTCCTTTCTTAGTTCTTATGTTTAATGAGGGGAATTTCTGCCAAGTATGGTTATAAGAAAATAAAAAAAGGGGGAAAAATTCCCGTGGGCCTTTTGGGCCCCAAATTACTGGCAGGCCCCTTAAACAATCCATCCCCCCTAGGGGGAACTTTAAAAGGGGGAAAGGAAAAATTTGCAAAAGGCCTAGGGGCCCCATACAAGGCAGGTCCTTACAAAATTTTGCCCTCTCCCCCAAAGTTTTAACCCAAAAATTTTTAATTCCTGTCCCCCGGGGACACCAATCAAATCCAGCCCCTCCCACCCCCTTTTGGGTCCAACCCCCTTTTAAAAGTTTCCCAATTCCAATCCCCCGGATCACCCTAGGGGGAAGGATTGTTTCCAGGGCTTTCCCAACTCTGTTAAAAAAACCCCAATACTTACCAAAGTTCTTTCAAAAAATCAAAATTTTTACCCAAATTTAAAACCCTAAAGGGGGTGGGGAGTTTTCAAGGGAAAAGGAAAAAATGGGAAATTAGGTCGGGGGTTTTAAAATAGATTTAGAGCTAAAAAAGGGGGTAGAAAATAATTAGAAGGAAAAGCTAGGGCAGGAAAAGGGGGACTAAAAAAAGGGTAAAAAATTCAAGGATTATGGGGAGTAAAAAAAAGATAGGATGTAAAATTTTTGGGTTATAGAAATCGTGTAGGGCACCTGGAAAGAGAGAAGTGAAGGGGAAAAGAGAGATTCTGGGAAATGTTGAGTGAATGCGTGGGGATTTTTAAATCAATTTGAGAGAAAATTGGGGGTTTGGGGGATTTAAAATGCAAAGTGGGAAAAAATGTTATGGGGGGAGTAGTGGGAAAATTTTGGGGGTGCCAGGGAAAAATGTAAATGGGGAGCCTTTAATTGGCTTTTGAAAAAATTTTGGGTTTAATAAGAAACCCACATATTTTATGAAATAAAGGATAAAAAATATACAAGGAAAGGGATGTAAAACGTAATGAAAGTAATTTTTAATTTTTAAAGTGGTGGAAAAAGGTTGTTTGGTGGCTCCGGGATTTTTACATGTTTTAGAAAAGGGGCAACTGATATTTTTGGGAATCATTTTTTTTTTTTGTACTACAGTTAGAGTAAGAGGTAGAGGGAAAAGAGGAAGGTGGAAACAACAAGAAAAGGGGTGGGGTGAAATTGAAATAAACTAAGGGGGGGAGGAAGTTCGGGGGGAAAATAAAACGACTATTGGCAGAAAGGGGGCATGCAAAATGATAGGGGGGGGGTTTGAAGGGGGTTTGGGAATATTTTTAAAAAAATGCAGTATTAAATGTGGGGCAGAAGTTTGGGGTTTTATAGGAGGGGGGGGCAGAGGAAAGAGGAGTGGTTTTGGGGGAATAAAGAAGTAAAGGGTTTTATAAAAAAAAAAAAAGGGAAGTTTAACGAGGGGTTTTTTTAAACAAAGCAGAAGGGGTTATAAGAAGAGCAAGTAAGGGAGAGTAAAAAAAAAGGTTTAAGGGGGTGGTGAGAGGCAAAAGGAAGCAGAGAAAGAGTGGGAGAGGCACTGTCAAGAAAATTTTAAAAAAATTTAAAAAAAATTTTGGAGTGATTTAAACAATTTTGGGAAAGCCTGGGAAATAGGGGTTTTGGCCCATTTAAAAACAGAGTAGGGGTTATTTAGAGGGGGAGAGGGAGGTTTTAGGTAGTTTGGGCGAGAATATTTTGAGGAACTTTTAAATGTTGAAAAGAAAGGGACCCGGTAATTTCATGCACTGGCCAGGGATAAAACCATCTTTTAGGAGTGAAGAAGAGCAAAAGAAAAGTGGGGTGGGTACGTGAGGCATTACGTAGAATAAAAGGGGGGAAAAGGAAAGCGGAACGGGGGATCTTTTAAACAGAAATGTTAAAACGGGGGGGATATAGTGTTGGAGTGTTGGTACTTTTGTTTAATAAATGTATGAAAGGGGGGAAGGTACCTGGGGATTGGGGGAGAGCAGTAAAGCCCCTTTATTAAAGGAAAAGGGGGAAAAAAGGGAATTGAAAAATTAATAAAAGGAAAAATTTTTAAACTGATATACCGGGAAAAAGTATACGGTAGGGTTATAATTGAAAAAATTTGGGAGGAAAAGGAAAAGAAGTAGGTTTGGGGAAATGACAGGGATGTTTCCCAGATTTGGGTAGGGGTTTTGGAATCAAGTTTTTTTACATTGAAGCATATATTAAACCGAAATTTAGATAAAGGGGGGAAGTTTTTATTGCATTTATGGATTTAAAAAAGGGGAAAATGATAGGGGAATAAGGACCCAATTTTTGGGGCAGATTTTGGAAAGTTATGGAAAAGGGAAAGGGTTTACAAAAAGCTGTAAAGAGCTTTTAAAGGAGGAAAAGTGAGGCTCGGGTTAAGGGTTTGAGAAAGGGGGGAGACAACTTCCCCGGGGAAAAAAAGGTTTTAGACGGGGATGTGAAATGTCACCATGGTTTTTAATATATTTAAAGAGGGGGTTGAAAAAAGAAGTAATGCTAGGGTTTTTCCCGGGAGGGGGGTTGGGTTTAAAATTTTAAAGGGGAATCAAATTAAAAAGGGGGAAATTTGACCTTTACTTTTTGCTGAGAAACTGTGGGTTTTTTGGGAGTTTTCAAAAAGGAAAAATTGCAAAGGTTAGTGGATATTTTTGAGAATGTGTGAAAAAAGTAGAAAGTTGAAATGAACATAAAAAGGAAAGGGTTATGAGGGTATCAAATTTTTAAAGAGGGGGGAAAAAATTTTGGATTCAAATTGGGGAGGAGGAGTAGGGAAAAAAGTGAATGTTTTCGAAAACTTTGGGGGGTTGCGTTCGGGGGGAAATGGTTTTTAAGAAGGGATGGTTTAAAACATAGAATTTGAGGGGGGGGAAAAAATTTGAGGGGTGCGTTGAGGTAAAATTTTGGAGTAAAAAAAACTTTCAAAAGGAGGCAAAGAAGGGAAATGTATAAATATAGTAGTGCCAAACACTTTATAGGGATTGAAGTTTTGGGGGGTTAAATCAGCAGGGGAGGAGACATTTGGAGGCATTTGGAGATTCCTTTTTTAA